TTGAACTATCTTTCAGTAGTAAATATTTACGCCATACAATTCAAATGTAGCGATTTTAAATAAATAAAATCTATTTGACGCGGTAAATATTGAACGAATATCATGAAAACAGTCATATTTATTCGTAGGCCAGATCCCCGTCTCGATAATTTCGAGGGTTTGGGTCATAATTGTGACATCTAAATATAAACCGGTCACTACCAAAACCAATAGAAGTCGACATAGGCCAAAACCGAATATACATACAAAATTTTCAGAATTCATCAAGAGAAATTGTTGAAAGATGCCGACACATACTGAATCATTTATTCAAAATTGTGCTAATGCTGTGTTTTCAGAAGATAATTTTTTCAATCACCATTTGATTCGGGTCATGATAATCAGATTACAAGTTATAATGGACAGACGATAAACGATATACAAAAAGTTGAATCTAGGAGTCGTGCAGCTACAAACTCTTGAGGCAACACATACTAAAAACCAGTAAGGAAAGTAGTAAAGTCGGGCTGGGCCGACTATATGATACCCTTCACCACTTTGGGTAGATTCTACATATGTATCCCAACAGACGACGCGTTTTTTGTTATATATCTATATCTGAACCGATTTCAGGGAAAATTGCCAGAGACTAATTTATATTACTTCAGTACGTTGTGTCATTCGGCCTTGCAATGGATCTTTTCACGCAGCTTAGCAACATCATTTTAGACTTAATTCAGTACTTCAGTAGTGTTGGCGGTTTATTTAAGATACCATTTGTATTTTGTTTTTATAAAAAACAACTATCTATCAGTGGGGAATGTATGGCATTGATTGCCGAGGGGTAAGGCAGGGAAGACTATAGTTTCGGATCACGCCACTGATCCTCATAAGTTTGTTGGGATATTCTCCCCAGAAGCTATTTCTTCTATACAAAAAACCTTTCAAACCCAAATTTCCCTTGTAACAAAGCCAAGTACTTAGCTGACCACCGTACCCTATACCAAAATTCGTGCAAATCGAAAGATATATGGGGACTTTGGTGCACCAATTACATAAAATCGGACGAAAATATATATGGGAGCTATATATAAATCTAAACCGATTTTCACGAAACTTTGCCACGTCATTCTAGACTTAATTCAGTACCCTATGCCAAAATTCGTGCAAATGAAAAGATTTCCAGGGACATTGGTGCACCAATTACCTCAATCGGGCAAAAGTATATATGGAAGCTATATCTAAATCTGAACCGATTTTCATGAAACTTAGCACAAATTATTATAGACCCAAATGCCGGTACGCTATGCCCAATTTCGTGCAAATCGAAAGATATATAGGGTCTTTGGTACACCAATTACCTTAAATCGGATGAAAATATATATGGGAGCTATATCTAAATCTGAACCGATTGTCACGAAACTTTGCACACATCATTCTAGACTTAATTCAGTACGCTATACCAAAAGATTTCCAGGGACTTTAGTGGACTATTTACCTAAAATCGGGCGAAGCTATATATGGGAGCTATATCTAAATCTGAACCGATTTTCACGAAACTTGGCATACAACATTCTAGTCCTTATTCATTACGCTGTGCCAAATTTCGTGCAAATCGAAAGATATATAGTGACTTTGGTACACAATTTACCTTAAATCGGACTAAGATATATATGGGAGCTATATCTAAATCTGAACCGATTTTCACGAAACTTGGCATACATCATTCTAGACTTTATTCATTACGCTGTGCCAAATTTCGTGCAAAGCGAAAGATATATAGGGGCTTTGGTACACAATTTACCTTAAATCGGACGAAGATATATATGGGAGCTATATCTAAATCTGAACCGATTTTCACGAAACTTGGCATACATCATTCTAGACCTTATTCATTACGCTGTGCCAAATTTCGTGCAAATCGAAAGATATATAGGGACTTTGGTACACAATTTACCTTAAATCAGACGGAATTATATATAGGAGCTATATCTAAATCTGAACCGATTTTTATGAAATTTTACACACATCATTCTAGACGTAATTCATTACGCTGTGCCAATTTTCGTGCAAATCGAAAGATATGTAGGGACTTCAGTGCACCATTTACCTTAAATCGGGCGAAAATATATATGGGAGCAATATCTAAATCTGAACCGATTTTCCCCAATAGGGTTCTTCCTTGGGCCAAACAAATGAGATGTGCCAAATTTCATCCAATTCGGATCATAAATGCGACCTGTACTTTGTTTACAATTTAACATCTACAGACGGACAGACGGACGGACGGACATGTATAAATCGACTCAGAAAGTGATTCTATGCATATTCTCAAAGGAACCATGGGTCTATCTCGATTATTTTTGCCTGTTACAAACATATGCACAAAGACATAATACCCTGTACCACAGTGTGGTGAAGGGTATAAACATATAAAAACATTTTGTTTTGATTGGTTGAATCAAATTTGCCTAAGTTTTGAAATGTCAAGGCGAATTGAATTTTATTTGCAAGGGTTATTCCAAGGTTAAGGTTTATTCATAAAGAGGAGGCGAATAAAGTTGACAGCAAGAGAAGACTAAGGCATGAATTCGCCTGCCGCCTAACCTTATTAATAAATCTTGTTGCATTGTTTTGTGCTCTCCTAAATTTGACTCAATGTTTTACAAGTTTTGTGGGTTCAGGAACGGTATTCGAGTAAAAAGTTGCAAAACTTGTAAAATTAGTAGATTCTTTTAGGTTCTGGACAGAACTATAGTTAACAAAATAATATATGTGCCTTGGTTCTATTTCTTTGCCTTTATTCCATGGTACAATTATAAAAGGTAACAGCAAATCGCAGCTGATTTCATTCCAACGTAATACTAGTGTCAATATGAATTTGACAAATTATGTTTTTATAATCACCCAACAGGAAAATTGGGAATGCATACAATTTGAAATTGTTCTTTATTAAATGTGCTCCCGTATTCAATTTTCTCAATCTGCCTACTGGGAAAGTTTGAGGAAGCAAATCTGTCTTCAAGGAATAACTCGATATTCCCAGCATTTTCATATGTGTTACACATATATATGGCAATGACTCAATCATAGGAAAGATGTGGAAGCGATAGAAATATAAATTTGATAGAGTTTCATTCATGTTTTGAGGATTCGAAATATTTCATTTTCAAAATAAAAATAATTTGATCATAATTTGTTTGTTTACTTTTTTCTGTCAGATGGGTTGACACTAGTAGAACTTACAACAACAAATTTCTATGTGGTTGTTGTATCGTTTTTTGTACAACAACACTTGCTGTTACTTTCTATTATTATACCATGCCTTTATTCTAAAAATTGCTTCAAGGTAGCCGCAAGGTAGATATACAAGGTAGCCGCATCGGCTATTTTGATATGTCAAAAATATTTTGCCAAAACAAACAGATTGACAAGTTTTTTACACAAATTCTTGTAGAAAATGTTAATAAAAGTATTGTTACGTTCTTGGCGGTTTCAATTCGCGATCTGATTCACAACTGACTAACTGCCTTGCCATTCCCCCTATTTATATGAGCCCTGCCTGTCGCTACAGAAGTTTCTAGACGATCTGGTAACACCTAGATTTCGAACAATCTACCAATGCAACAAACACATACAAACTTACATTGAGTGAACAATAAGAACACATATACAGGCGAGGGACTAACAAAGAAAGAGGAATTAAGCGAGCATCAATGATGACGTTTAACAAGAATTGAACGTCAACAACAAAATAGAAAATGAAAGAGGAAATGGAAGGATGTAGAAAAATCTATACAGTAGTTGTTGTGAAGTTATTCGAATAAACTGCGTAGTAGAAATTTACGTTACAATTCAAATTCTTAAATTAACGGAATTCATCTAAATTAACTTAAATCTAAAGTTATATTCGTAACAGTATTGCCAAACAAGGTCTTCGAAATTGGGAGATTTTCATTCATAATTTTGTTTTTTTAATTTTTTGGTTTTACCGATGCGCCTACCTTATTAAATATACCTTGAACTCATCCATGGCACAATAAATAGGTGGTCCATTTAGCGCAGCTGATGTCTCGATTAACTGTCAAAGTGGATAATTTCTACTTGTATTCGATGTGCAATGTTGCCAACCGTGTTAAATACTATATGGAAAAATTTGACAGATAATCGAGACAAAAACAAACGTTTTTATTTTGATACATCACCTTATTATTGTATTATGAACTGATCCGTAAATTTGAGGAGTTCCTTCTCCCTATTTGCAGCAATCGAAACGTTTTTAGATTAGGTCGATCATTATCACCGACTTGCGGAATCCCTAATCGGCAATTATCCAATGCCTCTCTTTCTCAACAATACGCTTCTTTACCCGTGTCCATCACACGCTATTCGTAAATTTTCCGTTTTCCACTTTGATTTCCATTTTTATCGGCAATTTTGTCTTCTCACCTATTTGTATCTGGTGGAACGCTTTTTAATTTTTTTTTTGAGTCGCTGAGGGACAGTGTACGACAGTACATTCGTGTAATTAACAATTTAATCGTTGCCTGAAAAGGAGGCAACTGTGAGGTGCAGAGCAATCAATTGTTAAAAAAAAAAAGAAAAATGCTCAAATAATAAAAAATAAATATTCATATTTTACTACGACAACCTTTCAGTATTCGGATATTTAAAAAAATCTAAACGGATTAAATTAAAAACCTAAAGGACAAAAGTCGGGACTCTGTTCTGTATAAATCGATTGATGTTCCTTTCGCTCAAAGCTGCTGACTGAATGGACAACAAACAGGTATTGTTAGTTTGTATGTACACGCATTTGTACCTTGATTTTATGTTTATTCATTGGGAAGCAAATTGCAATAACGGAAATCACAAACATATTAGGATACGGATGTGGGATATTCAGACATTTTTCTATTCATATTTCAGATAATTATCAACAACTGATACTCTTTGTCCAGGCTCTGATGATTTGTTAAACATTTAATTCTGGCCATAAATAACATTTGTCTCTGACCACAGCGAGGAGGGTGAGACATTCACAATGATAAGTGCATTGTTTTCACGACTTATTATGTGAGTATTCATTCTTGTTCTATTAATTCCTTTGGTTTGTGGTAAATTAAATATCCTCCGTGAGTAATGGAATTCGAGCAATATACATAAAGAACATCTATATATTTACTTGATTGGAAAATGTTGATTCATATTTACATACAATAAAAAACCAAAACCACATATGAATTCCTTAAGTAAAACTATATAAATATACTGCGCACAACGTACTGCAATTTATGTACAAGCATTCAATTTAAGTAATTAAAGGTATAATGGTAATTCGAAGTGAAAAAAATTAAAAAGATCTGTAATGTACAACAGTATAGCATTCTTACATTGCCCTTGTTACTTTAAAGATACATATATTCAATGTCACTGATGTATATTAAAGACCGTGTATATTAGTCACAATTGAAGTGGGATCGAGTTTTTGTTGTTGTCGAGGTTGTACAATCTACTGCCGTGATTTGTTAGACGCAAAGCTCTTGAATTGATTTTGTAGAATTTTCACTAATGCTTCGCAACATTGAAGTTGTTTAGACAATGAGCTCAACCACATTAATGTTAGCAGTATTGATGGCAATAACAAAAGTACCTAGTTTTACACATTTGGTAAAACCGCTTTTCTATACAGTTGTATACGCACATTTATGCCACAGTTGCCAATTACACATATGTTATTGGGTCAACGTGCTTTTAAGGAATGCTTATGTCTACAGAAACAAAACAATGCAACGGGTGATTTTTTCCCGAATCTTGAAACATAATTAAATGCGGGATCAAACAAAAACAACGCATATACAGAGAAGTCAAGGGTAATTACTTTTGTTTTGTACAATTTGCGCAACTAAAAACATTTGAATAAACTTATTATTACTCTTTAATATTTAAATTTGAATACCTAATTAAGTGTTCAACGACTACGTTGAAGAATACCGAAAAGGCAATATGGTTCTAATGTATGCTTTTTCGACATATCCACTGTATCCCAAACCCACAACGGATGGAGACATTTTAAAAATTTCTTATAATCGGACGCGCTTTATTTAGTGTAAATCTCATACACATATCACCGTAGATTTTTAATAATTGGAGACCAAAAAACGGTATTCTTGGCTAATCATTTTAAAATTGAGTTTTAATGAGATTTTTTAGAAAGATGATATAAAAAATGCATTTGGCGTAGTAATGCCATTTTAAAGGATTTTTGTAAGGGATAAAGGGCGGCACTTTGGCCGTTAAGTGAAACATTGAAAAATTCATAATTATATGGTTTTAACAAATAAGCGAATTTCATGCTGTTTAATATTGATATTTTTATGTATTTTAATAACAATATATGTGGTAGTTTTTATAGTCGTAACTCATACCAATATTTAACAAGCATGTAAAATAATTTGTAGAAGAATACGTCCCGTATTTAGAAAGATTTAGGCTAAATCAACTTGACAACTTAGCCAAAATAAAAATCAAAAAAGTTAAAAAAATACTCCAATTCAAAAACCAGTGAATGGAGTAGTATAATCGGATGGGACGGCTTTTTAACTCTGAGATATTTTCCAAATCTTGTTTTCTCGAGGTGACTTTTTACGCCATAAAATACAAATTTGGCCACTTTAGGTTTTTGTTGCTTTATGTTGGGTCGACTTGATCATAACCGGAACTTCATGTACAATTTCAAAGCAATTAGGGCGACATTTCCGTCCTCTAGTGGAATAAGACTTTGGCACTTTTTCTCAGATTCCCTCAAAAATATTTCTTTTAAGAGCACAGGTTAAATCAAATTGTTTTAATGCAATAAATATAAGCGTTAAAACAGTAGTTATTTTTTACACATCGTCGGAAATCACAAACAGGGGCCATTGTTTTTAATGCATTAAATATACGCGTTAAAAACAATAGTCCTTCTATTTCATTATTAGATACTTATTGTTGATCGCGCATTCCAGAATCGGGTCGATTTGACCCGATAAATATTGGCCGACCTTCATTAAGTCGTGCTTATTGGTGTTGTGTTGTTCGGGTCATAATTGTGGCCTCTAGAGCGACCAGAAAATCTGACAAAAATAAAGTTTTTGGTCTATTTCCCTAAAAATAAAAACATTTGAATAAACTTATTATTACTCTTTAATATTTAAATTTGAATACCTAATTAAGTGTTCAACGACTACGTTGAAGAATACCGAAAAGGCAATATGGTTCTAATGTATGCTTTTTCGACATATCCACTGTATCCCAAACCCACAACGGATGGAGACATTTTAAAAATTTCTTATAATCGGACGCGCTTTATTTAGTGTAAATCTCATACACATATCACCGTAGATTTTTAATAATTGGAGACCAAAAAACGGTATTCTTGGCTAATCATTTTAAAATTGAGTTTTAATGAGATTTTAGAAGAGATTAAGAAATGGGATGCGTATAAAAATCGTATGCATTTGGCGTAGTAATGCCATTTTAAAGGATTTTTGTAAGGGATAAAGGGCGGCACTTTGGCCGTTAAGTGAAACATTGAAAAATTCATAATTATATGGTTTTAACAAATAAGCGAATTTCATGCTGTTTAATATTGATATTTTTATGTATTTTAATAACAATATATGTGGTAGTTTTTATAGTCGTAACTCATACCAATATTTAACAAGCATGTAAAATAATTTGTAGAAGAATACGTCCCATATTTAGAAAGATTTAGGCTAAATCAACTTGACAACTTAGCCAAAATAAAAATCAAAAAAGTTAAAAAAATACTCCAATTCAAAAACCAGTGAATGGAGTAGTATAATCGGATGGGACGGCTTTTTAACTCTGAGATATTTTCCAAATCTTGTTTTCTCGAGGTGACTTTTTACGCCATAAAATACAAATTTGGCCACTTTAGGTTTTTGTTGCTTTATGTTGGGTCGACTTGATCATAACCGGAACTTCATGTACAATTTCAAAGCAATTAGGGCGACATTTCCGTCCTCTAGTGGAATAAGACTTTGGCACTTTTTCTCAGATTCCCTCAAAAATATTTCTTTTAAGAGCACAGGTTAAATCAAATTGTTTTAATGCAATAAATATAAGCGTTAAAACAGTAGTTATTTTTTACACATCGTCGGAAATCACAAACAGGGGCCATTGTTTTTAATGCATTAAATATACGCGTTAAAAACAATAGTCCTTCTATTTCATTATTAGATACTTATTGTTGATCGCGCATTCCAGAATCGGGTCGATTTGACCCGATAAATATTGGCCGACCTTCATTAAGTCGTGCTTATTGGTGTTGTGTTGTTCGGGTCATAATTGTGGCCTCTAGAGCGACCAGAAAATCTGACAAAAATAAAGTTTTTGGTCTATTTCCCTAAAAATTTACGTAGGGGAGAGGGGGGCACCTTTGAACACTTTTTTATTTCAAGCCTTATAAAATTTTTTATTTATTTTATAATTTTTGGTTTCTTATCAATTTTAACTAATAGGTACATATGTAACCTTTAAAATGAATATACATATGACATACTTTAAGCTTTATAAATATATTTTATTACTGTTTTAATGGACGAAGTCATTTTTGAACGAAATGGTTTTTTACAGTGTTTATGTTCAAATATGTATGTATTTTATTCATACATATCAGAAATGCATTTATTCATTAAAAAATATATAAAAATGTTCAAAATTTAAAAAATTTAGATCAAAATTCATTAAATCGAAGCCAAAAGTTAAAAACTCCGTTTTTACTCGAGTTTAATGGGCATGTTCAAAGGTGCCCCACCCATGGCATTTTTCGGAATTTTATAATAACATTTTTTGTAATAAATATATATGAAATATATTACATTAGTTGTGTTTGAAATGATTGTTGGAATGCAAAAAAATTGTTTGACGAAAGAAAACTATCACAGAATTCTTCCTGCGCCCTTACAACCAAATGAATAAAAGTTTACAATGACACTGCGAAAACAAGTTCATCCATGCACAATTTGTCGACAAATGAAAAAGCAAGCCAAAGTGGTTTAGGCAGATAGAGAACAAGATTGCCATAAACAAAAATTAATTAATTACTGCTGTTATTTCTCACGGAGTCAATCCGTTTTAAGTCCATATCAACATGGCTTCCGTTGTGGTCTTTCAACTATAACAAATTTTATAGAGTTTACTTCAATTGTAATAAAGGGATTTGTTCAGCGAAATCAAACAGATACCTTTTATACAGATTTTAGTAAAGCTTTTGAACTCTTATTATATAAATTAGATAAGATGGGTTTCAGTATAAACTTAGTCAAATTCGTATGTAATTAAAATTTAAGATTACAGCATTCGAGCGTAAAAAAATGTTTTCGGAATAAATGTGAAAAAAAGAACTCGACATTGCATTCATTTCATTCCATATCTCAAATAAACAAAACAACCTATTGAATATTTGTATATGTAAATATGACACTATAAGAACATTCACAAGACCAGCAGTGCCTAAAATAGGTCCCATAGGCTGTCAAATTGATCACACATACAATTATAAAAGAGAAACATTTGAAAATAAAAAATTGCTATTCATTCCTTTTTGTTGTTATACTCTAACCGAAAAATGGGATTTTTTGGCAAACATTAATTCCGTTCCAGAACCTAAAAGAATCTACTAATTTTACAAGTTTTGCAACAAATATATCTTGAATTAAATAATTTTTTTTCTTCCTTAAAATTTGAAAATAATATTTTTACAAAATTTCTTACAGTACATGACATAGAAACAGAACTTTTCAAAATTTTGTATTTCAAACAAATACATTCACATAACTTGAATGTAATAGTGTGGATAGCCCTGCACTAGACTACAGTTTTTGTTAATTTCGTCAATTAAGCCCACCTCTTTTTATTGTACCACGCTTAAAGTGGCTCAAGAATGTTTTCAAAAATTCTAAGAATCACTTACTCATTAAGATTTTATATAATCAATTCAATTTATTTCATAAATGAGAACCTAGCCCAAAGGGCCATGAGCGATTCCAAAAACTTCTTTACATGGACTC